GGGGCATTTTCTTCCATCGATGTGTCGACCCATCTAGATAGCCTTTTCTTGAGTTGACACGTTTTACCATGGTGGCTAGACGAGCTTGCTCCAGCTTCACAAGAGTTCACAAGTTTCACCAGAGTGAGACTTGTAAACCGGAAGTAGTGAAGCAGTGAAAGTGCAAAATGCCCCCCCCTCGCCGAACTGTCCCTCGCCTCCAGTAGTGTCCGTAAGACTTCATCCCCCTTAGTGGCTGTTCAAAGTATTCATAATAGACCTGCATTGAAATCGTATTAGTCTGAACAAAAGAGGGTAGGAAGAGAATAAACAGGCCGAAAAAAAGAGCAAGCAGTCCAATGGAGTAATGAGTACAACGTTGAAAGGAGGAAAGCAGGATTAATGCAACTGCTACTCAGGAAATCGCTTTCGAAATCCAGATCGCGTGATGCGGTGATGAAATGACCAAAGAGTCCCAAAGAGAAGCCGTGACAGTGAGCGTACCACGGCCGCGTCGCGTATTGACATTGGACCACTACAGTGCCACCATATGGTATTTTTAAAAATGTATAAAATCATTCAGATGCCATCTTTTGCAATGCGATAAGAACAATCAATGTTACTCTTGCACGGTCTTTACAGAATACACTAGGCTTTCATCAAGCTTGGATGGCGGCTTCTGGCCAGAAAAGAGCGCGGAAAATTTCTTGAGACTGTGCACTTCTTACCTTTCAAGGAATAAACTTACCGTAGAGCATAACGTGGAGCAGAAATCTACACGGAAAAATCAACTTTAGCTGCAGTATGATGATCTTTCATACTGCAGCTAAAGCTGATTTTAAAGGCAGTTGGCACGATAAATCCTCCAAGACGAGTAGGATTAATACGCCTGGCAGGACGGAATTCCGCGACCCTGAGCAGGCGCTGCATAATGCCTTTTCCAAGGGAGGTGCCCTTATAAGGGCCCTATCAAGCCACAACTTTCCGACCCAAACGCCCGCCAGCCCACAAATGGACGACCGTTCCTGACGCTCTAATCGATTCATTTGAAAAGCAAATCATGAAGCGAAGATTACTATGAAGCGGTAGCGGTTATTGGCAAGATGCCTACGGGAAACTCGTCCAAAATTGATTGACACATTAGAAGGCTCTTTCTTCGCAGGATTTTGACCGTTTCACTCCGTTCTTTCGCCATTTCCCCACTATATAGCGCCCTACTAGCATTTTAGGCCGAGCACCGAATCATCGTGCCAACTGCCTTTAAGTGTCCAAATCTCCATCTGGAGAGCTCAATGGGCTTTCCGTACACCTGCTCCTCATGTGTTGAGTAAGAATTGAAGCACAGAGACGCTAATCACACCTTAATGGAATGCGCCATGTAGTCGACTTCCTTTCCTTTTGACTGAGAGTGATATTTAAAAGGAATTGGACCTATGAAAGAGCAGTCAGTTTCATGGGAACCATAGGCCTAAAGCAACACTTTTTATCCACCTGCACTTTTGAATGTGTCATTTATTGCCAGGTAGCCGCGTCGTGGCAGAGCACGAAGCGCTGAAGTGTATCTGATGTTATTCGGAGCTCTTGGCAATACTGCAAGCCTGCGAGAGCAAGAACTCAAAGACGGAGCAGCTTGACTTCCTTAAAGAAGAATAATTTATCAGGTTTTTGAACGTTTTTTTCATTCTACAGCATCAGCACGCAAGCTGTGCTTTCATCACCCATTCTGCAGCGTAAGTCACCGTGGTGCTCAGTTCTGACTTCTATAGAACGACACCCACCCCCGCCCCCGTCCCCCCCCCGTCGCGGAATCTGCGACGTATGCTTGGTACTGCAGTCAACTAGCCAGGAAATACTGTGCTAGTGCCCAGAATGCTGCAACTCGGAAGTAACGCTCTACACCCTCCTACGGATACAAATCAGGGTTTACAAATAGTCAACCACTAATTGGGTGAGATGAAGTGAGCACTCCCGCAGTTTTGACCATCCTTTTCAAAGTTGATAGATCCAGTTATTTTTGGAACACACATCTTTATTCATCCCTAGTTCCTCAGTTCCTCTCGTTTCTGACAAGGGAGGTCGTTCAGGGCGTGCCCGCTTTTTCGAAATGGTTCTTTGCATTTTGTAGGGCCTTGCCCATGAACCATAAAAGTGGGCTTCATTTTCGCTGAGCGGCCCCTGGAATGCCAAAAAAGGAGCGAAAAAGAAACCTATGGAAACTGATTGTTTTTGAGCCTCTATGGGCTGTCTTGAAACTTTGACCAGTGGGTCCGCTATAAAGGTACTATTGGAATCGAAGAGAAAAGTAGTCGGGGTATGGGGTCTTACTTGTGGCACGTGATCAAGAATGAACGGCTTCTTGGAATGGTTTCTTCAACGATCGGAGCAGTGAAAAGCAACAACGATCGGATTACGTAGTGGATAGCGTGGTGGATTCTGACAGGGGGTGGGGTTGATGGTTCGACTCGCCTCGGCGTGCGAGTTTTTGCATTTTTCATGTTTCGCTGTTTTCGCGTTCAAATATGTCTGTGCGTGAGTATAAGTTCGATAACTGCCATTTATGGGCACATTTTAAATGGGAACCTCCATGAATCGGTGCTATTCAATTATCCAGGTTTTACATACCATTAAACAATACCATTAAGTTGATCTTCATAGGTCAGACAATGCCCGAATCAACTCACTTGTAGCTAACCATTTATCGCTAATATGGAACCACAAGTTTCTTTTAATGACTGCGCCAAGTACCTATATGTGACGGGACTGTAGCTACTACCAGGCTTGCCACTTTACACTCGAGATACCTGAGATTCGGGGTAGGCGTAGCCGCCTGTTTACCTTATCCTTCAGGATAAAAAAAAAAAAAAAAAAAAAAAAAAAAAAAAAAAAAAAAAAAAAAAAAAAAAAAAAAAAAAAAAAAAAAAAAAAAAAAAAAAAAAAAAAAAAAAAAAAAAAAAAAAAAAAAAAAAAAAAAAAAAAAAAAAAAAAAAAAAAAAAAAAAAAAAAAAAAAAAAAAAAAAAAAAAAAAAAAAAAAAAAAAAAAAAAAAAAAAAAAAAAAAAAAAAAAAAAAAAAAAAAAGATATCGATATCCAATGCCGAATGTTTCACCTCGACACAATCGTTGTCGTGTCTCTGTCCAACACAGAACAAGATGACAGTTGTCCCAGACTATAATATTCCACTAGTAACCAGTTCTTTACAGTGTTCGAATGCTCCGCCTACCCGATCTCAGGGATTTCGAGTATATGTAAGCGCCGAAATAAGGAGAATGATTTGTCAATTTGTGATCGAGCCATCGATTAGCTTTGTAAACAATCTTTCGGCCAAAAAAATTTTTTCGACTTTTTTGGGTGTGTGCGTTGGGTTGTGCCCGACAGTCTTTCTATAGAAGTCTACAGTGCCTCGCCATAGGGACCCCCTATTTTATTAATATCCAAAGATAAAACCAACAATATCGATGAAATTTGTGCAAAGAGGAAGGAAGGGAGTATGGTCCAGGTCGACTTCAAAAAAAGCTGAGGGATTTGAATGAGTGCAATTTCTGTTCCCGTAGTAGAGAATGACTTCATCATTGAGCGAACAGGCGCTAGAGATCGGCAAAAGCCCAGAATGCTTTTCCGCGACCAGCACACTTGTGCCAAGCATGACAGGACCTTGGGGGCACCCTTGCGACACGGCTGTCCTGCCCGGCGGCCTGCTACGTCATCGTCACGTCATCATCTTTACGAAGATGTGAGACTCCGGTCACCACTGCCGACCAAATGGTCTACCACAACCCGAAAAAATCGAAAAATTTTTTTTGGCTGGAAGTTCGTCCATAAGGGTAATCGATGGTCCTGATTACGATTTTGACACTTATTTTCGACGTCGACGCAATTTGGCGCCAGTATAGCGCTTAACGTCTCCTCATATGGGGGTACATAGACGCTCCTTTTTTGGCGTTCCTGGGGCCGCTCAGCGAAAATGAACCCCACTTCTGTGGTCTATGTTCAAGCCCCTACAAAATGCAAAAAACCATTTTGAAAAAGCGGGGCACGCCCTGAAGGACCTTGCTCGTAAGTGTGATACCGCCAAGAAAGTAACAGCGTTTATTGCATACACAACATCACAATTCTAAAAAATAAGTTAATCACTTAATGTACAGACAAGCATAATCACGGGGTCTAGCATATGGCATAGATTCTATTCCTATAAAATAAAGCGCTACTTGTTCGTCACAATGTTCACCATGAGCTGGAAAATCACCTGGATGGAAGGGTCACGTTTGGAAAAACACGTTGAAGCCAAAATACCGGGGAGAATGAGGAAATGTAAGCAGCAGGCTAGAGGGGGCACGCCCGTACTGGTCGGGGCGTACTCCGAATAAAACGTACTTACTGCGAAGGTAAACGAAAAGCGAAAACTAAAATTCAAATGGACATTTAAAGGTGCGTTAGAAGAAAGCTCATAGGAGATCAAAGGAAATCACGGGTATCTCACATAAATTAGGAAACGAAGAATGCGAGGAGGTCGATCTCAAGGCAAGTGGTAAAAGAGTAAGACAATAAAAGGACAAACGTTCGACAAACGACTAATATTTATACATGTTTGACTTGAACCGATGATACATAATGAAGCGGTCTTTTGCGTGAGCCAAAAAGTCTATGCCCTGAATGGCTCCGAGTTCCTGAAATGGAGGGTATCGTATCTAAGATGAGAAAATGAATGATTGACGATTATATCAGTAAGCTTTTGGTCCTAAACGATTTTCAACGAATTTTCGAATAGAGGTGAAACACGCGAAGGGGGCGGAGCTAAGGTGAAAAATCGTAAATCGGTTCGAGGGTTGCCTAGCTAACAGTCTAGGAGAGCAAGTGAGGCGAACCCTGCAAAAGCTGAGTCAGCTGATCGTTATTGATCAAAATTATCGGTTTCTGCGCAGAGCAGAATAGTGACTTACACAATGCGTAGGTAGATTTGAACAAGTTCGTTATAAATATAATCACACAGTATCGATGGATATTGATTGAAGCTACCGGTTTTCAGGAGGGTCTTGAAGGGGTTCTGAACCGCACTATTGTGTGGTTACAATCGTTACAATCGTAGAAGTTGTATTTCTTTTCAATCTCACCATATCGATTGTCTTTCAGAAGACCGGTCAGATTAACAGGCTGGGGCTGGATTCCACTTTGCTTGTGGTCACTGCTCCGGCTATATTTGAGGTAGGAGGGGAGGGAGACACCCTTCGGCGCGCTTCCCCCCCTATTCCAATGAAGTTAGTGCATCCGGTTTACACCAAACAATCCTCTTATCTGCGCCCTTGATCAACGCTCCTTAGGCTGCGTTCATACTTCGCGTCAGCGTACGCCAGCGCACAGCAACGTTTCCAGCGATAGGGAAGTACGGATATCAATCTGGTGTTTCGAGCTTCCGCCAGAGTATGTCAGCGTACAGCAGCGGCGTTTAAGGAAAGTATAGATATCGATCTAGCCTACGCCAGAGTATACCAACGTTTTCGCGACCAGTTTACTCTTGAGCAAAACTTCTCGCAAAAACGCTGAAACATCGCTGTGCGGCATACGGCGGATCAATACCCATCATTTGCCTTAACACTACCAGATGGGCGTCGCATACGGAAGAGCAACCGTAGCTAGCGGGATGTTACTGTTACAACGAGAGATTGGAAGTCAAAGGAAAATTCACGAAACACACCTGTACGCATATGATATTCCAGACTCCCCAGAAGAAGTGCTGGAGTGGAAGGAATCTCCGGCCTTCAGTCATCAAAACTTTCAGATCCTCTTCCCGATCCCCTGTAAGCAGGTGCCGTTCTCGCTTCTCAAGGAATGCAGGGTCCTAAAAAAAGAGAGCATAGTCATAAAAGCTAATCAAACGACGTCTCAATTCGTAAAAGATGACGAAAGTTTACACACTCATAAATGGATACATATTATTAATCATCTGATTTTATTCATTCATTTACTAGACCAAAGGCGAAAAGCAATTTACCTTATATAGATGATCCAGATATGCACCGCAAAAGGTGCGAGACAGATTCTCGTCCTCCATCAGGTCAAGATTCACCTCGTAAAAGGGGTGTTTTTCAACGCCATAGGTCATGCCGAATTCTGCCAGCGTGTTGCTGATATCAAGACCTCTGAAAGAAAGAAATTGGAGCTACAGACCAATCTTCTATTCATCTTCCTGACTAATTAACAGCAATTATCTTGAGAGGATCGGTGAACCTTCAGCCATAGGTCTTTGAATCGTTGGGAAAACCCTCAGAGCTCCCGGAAGGATGTTTGGCTTCAGAAAGAGCCCGATTTGATTGTGCGGGAGAGCAGAATTTGAATTATTCAATCTGAGATTCAGTTTTCCGAAAACATTAGATTATGCAGAAAGTGGGTTACCACTGAAGAGAAGGAAAAACAAACATTCGAAAAACGCCTTATATAAGACCACTGGTTGCTGTCAGCATTACATGGGCGCACGGTGAATAGGGACTGACCGTGGAAAAGAGAAAGAGGCGATATGGTGAGGGTGTAAGCAAGTGATTAAGATCTTGCTGTCATATCTATGGTGTCTATGGACTTGCAGCAATGGCGGCCCACTCTCTTGTATTACCATGAGTATTTTTTCACCTTATCGGAGTTTTTTTCTTATACACTGTTATTTACCTCGACCATTGTAACTAGTTTGCCGATAATAAATCATAAATCATATTGCGACGGGACAACAAAGTGACACAGGTAAGAGCGATTACGAAGGCGGAGATTGTTCAGTGCTAGGGCCCATCCTTGCCAAGCATTTTGAACAGCGAAAATATTTATCTTCTGCGACTGGGGACCGCTCCATAAGTATAAGTATAAGTTTTACGTGTGCATAAGGCATACGTGAGAAAAAAGATCGGAACACATTACATATACAAGTTCCAATATTGATAAGTTAGTTACAATTTTTCGAAAACAGTAATTAACCAGCAAAACACCAACTCATCACGGAAGGAATCGTGCACGTCATGTGATCGCGGACTCTGTCCTCAGAATGGATATCCCACTAGAGCTTATGTGTAGATCACCGTGCACACAAAAACAGCGGTTCTCGATTGCCTAGGCTGCGTTCATACTTCGCGTCAGCGTACGGCAGAGTTTAGAACGACTAGACAAGTGTATATATCGATCTAACGATTCTAGCGTCAACCAGCGTACGTCATCGGGGAGACAGGTACGATAAGCGTAATTTGCCGCATCGTCGTACGCGGTAATGGGTCCTCAATTTGCACTACTCCTTTCGATTGGAGCATCGGATTTCATGTAGACAAGGACATGGTAGACACTCATGTCTATTTTTGGTCATACATTGTCTATTCTCGACCAATACCACCTAAAATCGTCGTCATTAGCGGGCGCGACGTCGCACGCGACGCCCACTGGCGCGGCGAATTACGATTCTCTTGCCACGCCATCGAATGGCAGAGTACAGCAGCGTTTTCGCACCAACTTTGTCAAGCAAAATTCCCCGCGAAAACGCTGGCATACTATGGGGTTAAAGCCGTTTGG